TGTGACTATGAAAATATCAAGGAATAAGAAAAGAGTGGATTCCCTAGCCCAAGTAAAGAAAAAAAAACGGGGAATAAGATACTTCCCTCTGCCAGAATGGCGAAAGAATGCGCATACGATGCATTAATTGTGGATCAATTCTGGTATCTAGTTTGGTTGAAAAGTTGTAGTCCATAGGAATCAATACATGAAAAAAACAAATCATCTACGAACAAAAACATAACAGTTCTCAAACGATAAGGACACAACTAGCAAAGCATCGATTGGACCAGTTATTCATATTCCATACCTTAATTATCGTTCTCTAATTTGCCCTCTTTTTCTCCATTCAACTTCCTATATAAAGCAAAGTTGCACTAACCCAACCTGAGAAAATAAAAAGAACAAGTAAGAAAAAGCAGCAGAAACACCTTCCTTAGTTGGTGGAGTTTACACTCTTGGAACTTCTCAGAGAATCAGTTTGGATTTAAAGATATAAAACCGCGTCAGGTAAAAGAAACTATCGATCGTGGCATCATTATTTAATGCAGTTTCAAGGTGGGGATAAAAACTTACATTTGCTTTTTTTGTGTACAGACTTTATGTATTACCAAAACCAGCACCAAGGAAAGAACATCCTCACTTCTTCAAGAATGCACATACAATCGGAAAGGCATCCATTCCTTAGAGGAGGGAATAGTCCAGGAGATTCCGGACTCATTCTTTCAACCGATGCAAAGCCACGCCTAAAATGGACTCCAGATCTTCACGAGAGATTCATCGAAGCTGTCAATCAACTCGGTGGAGCAGATAGTGAGAGTTAAATCATTATCAAGAATATTAATCACCTTTGACTAGCATGCTTTTAGATAATAATATTGTATACTTTTTTGTCTGCTCTGTTTCAGAAGCTACTCCTAAGACAATCATGAAAGTTATGGGTATTCCAGGCCTTACCTTATACCATCTCAAAAGTCATCTTCAGGTAAACCATCAACACTTGAATAAAATACAAAGCTGAAATAAGCTCGTCTTTTCATTCACAAAGGTTTATTAACTTCATGGAATTGGCAAACCAGAAATACAGGCTGAGCAAGAATCTCAACGGACAAGCTAACAGTGGCTTAAACAAGATAGGTAAAACAAAAATTCATCAATCAGATTCATAGATTTGAGAACATTCAAACTTTACAAAGATCTAAATAAATCGAACACACACGCATAGGTATGATGACCATGATGGAAGAAAAGACACCTGATGCAGACGAAATTCAAAGCGAGAGTTTAAGCATTGGACCACAGCCAAACAAGTAAGAAGATGACTCTTTTCAATATATCTTAGAACTTATTTAGTCAAATCACAAAATGACCTAATCTATTTGCACACAGGAACTCGCCAATAGGTGAAGCACTGCAAATGCAAATAGAGGTTCAAAGAAGGCTTCATGAACAACTTGAGGTATCATATTCATACAACACTGCTCTTTTCTCCAATCCATGATGCACATTGATATTAGTAGTCGCTGTTCTCAGTTTCATACATGAGGAAAAAGAAATCATGGTTAAAACATAATCAAAGTTATACAGTGCACTGTTCAGTTTATCTTGAGATAGATGCAAGTTACAACATACAAAAGTCTATTCTAGCAATAATTATGATTTGTAGAGAATTAAATAGATGATAAATTTGTAGTATCTAAAAATATAAAAGCATCCAGTTTTAAATATTCGTATTTAAACTGAGCCAGGTACAGCGACATTTGCAGCTCAGGATAGAGGCTCAAGGGAAATACCTGCAGTCGGTTTTGGAGAAAGCACAAGAGACTCTTGGAAGACAGAACCTCGGTGCAGCTGGACTCGAAGCTGCCAAAGTTCAACTCTCTGAATTAGTATCAAAAGTATCAGCAGAATACCCAAACTCTAGTTTCCTAGAAACAAAAGAACTTCAAAATCTATGCCCTCAACCTACTTACCCACCTGATTGCTCTCTGGAAAGTTGCTTAACCTCAAGCGAGGGAACTCAGAAAAACCCGAAAATGTTAGAGAGCAACAGATTAGGACTAAGAACGTATCTCGGCGATTCAACATCCGAGCAGAAAGAGGTTATGGAAGAACCATTGTTCCAAAGGATGGAGCTCACATGGACAGAAGGTCTAAGAAGGAATCCATATCTTTCAACAATGGTTAACGATGCAGAACAAAGAAGTCCTGGTAGATTGTCAATAGGAGTAGGATTGCAAGGACACAGAGGTCATCAACAAAGCAACAACGAGTATACAGAGGAAAGATTCAAAGCCAAAAGTGAAGATCATAAGCTTGAAACCAGAAGCAGGAAAGGCATGGATTCAATAACAGAGCTAGATCTTAACACACATGTTGATAACTATTGTACAACGCGTCCCAAACAGTTCGATTTGAATGGTTTCAGCTGGAACTAAAAAGGATTAACCAAAAATCAAGATTCTTGAGGATAACGTACCAAACTATTCATTGTTTATTAACCTCATATATACAGAGAATTTTCCCAACTTGATAAGTACTGAGAAATTATAAACGCAATCTTCATGAACAGCTAAAATCTAGTGAATTCCGAAAACCCAACATACTAAAAACAAAAACTTTTGATTTGAATGCATTTCGAATTCCATAAAGGATTGGCCTTTGATTTGACGATTAATCGTTACATAACGAAATACCGATGCGTTTGATCTTTTTGTAATCACTTACTGAAGTGTAAAATTGGAAAGAGCCACTGTCACACCGGAGAGTACGAACGGCCGTTCGCCGGAGCTTTGTGGTTTGCTCAATGCAGAGAGAAACGTACCTGAATTGAACGCGTTAAACCGCGTTTGAACCGGACCAAGCGCCTCTAAATCAAAACGATCAACCAACCAATCAAAGCCCCGGTACGAAATATGTGATTTCAAAGCTAAGCAAAATTTTAATTTATCGAACCGGAATTATATTGGTAAAGCTCAAAAACTTGTAAATTCAATACTAAACCGAATCGAACCGATACGAACTAGTAATACACATTGTAGTTATCATTGTCACTCTAGTAAACAACAATTTAAACTAAAATGTAAACCGGTCCGGCTCGTGATTAATGCAAACCGGTATGGTTAGTGAACTTATTGACAACTTCTTGTTCCATTTCCATAAGTTGATGGCAAAAAGCTTCAACGTCTTTAACCTCTTCTTCAAACTCAAACCTAAACTCTCTCCATTGATACTCATCTCCGCCTTCTTCTTCACTCGGTACCTTCCCCAACAAGTAGAAACCTTTCTTATCCACCGATACCATATACGCATCCTAATCGCCAAAAGGAAAAACACCGGTAAACGACCAAATGAACATAGGTAATCAGAGATCCAAGAGTTACATCCATATAAACATCTTTTGTTACCCTTGCGTTTATATCGAGATAGTATAAACAGAAAAGAATCAAAGCCCGTCTTCTCGATTCGTCCTTGTTGATTCCGTCCACAAGTTTTGTAGACCAAGCCCCTGTGAATTGAAATCCAATGCAAAAAGCTTAAGATGAAGCAAATGACAAAACTTGATCCAGAGTTTGAAATCAATCGTCTTTAGTTCAATTACCTAGCGGATCTGCTTCTGATAGTTCTAAAACCTTCAAGTCTATTTCGTTCGTGGCACCATTCGGGTCAATAAACATGCATGAGCTGAGAAGAAAAAACCACAGTCATAACTGGTGATCAAATTCATCATCTTTTGAAATCATAAGACAATCACATGAAGAATGTAAATAATATTCAACAAACAGAGAGATCTGTCTTCAACCTATCAATCTCAACAAAAGCTATAATTGATATATTAGTTTGGTTAAGCATAAACAGAGGAAGGGTTGTGTGTTTTACCTTGGAACAAACTTATAAATAACGTATTTTTCATTTCCACCATCGACCAGGGCTTTAAGACCCTCACACCGGGAGGCATAAATCGGGTTGGAAGAATTCACGATACTACGAACAGAATTTGGGGACTCTCTAATCGCTCTCATCTCTGATTGTATAGCTGCCTCAACATATTTACTTACCGCCTCAACCTTTTAATCAAGAAGACAAAGATAATAAGTAAAGGAAAAGTCATGACTTTTTTTCAAATTAGAAATTACATGGTTCTTACCCTCTTTTCTTTTACAGGGATAATTTCTCCGGTAAGAGCAACACGATTTGGAAGCTGCAAAGAAAGTTAACCCCGATTAAGTGAGACTGATACAGATTCAAGAAACCTGTAATGTATCCAACCTAGAGAAGGCAGTGAATGCAGAGAAAAATAGACACACAAACCTTTCCTACTAACTTCAACAAAGCTGCAAGGGGACCAGGATACGGATGGGATATCGAAAACGATCCGCGTTCATCAAACATTATGTTCTGCCAAAATTACAACTTCATAAGTAGCTTTTTTAGTCATACACATGTTAAGCCCACTTATTCAGTATTATAAACTTATCATTCATTGTTAGCTAACAGTAAGAAGAATGAAAGCTTACGACATTGTGTGGTTCACTTTCTGGTACCCAGAGATAAGGCTTTCCTCGTCTCATCACATACTTGATCTTTGAAGTATGTATTATACTGAGCACAATAACCAAAGATACACAGTTCAAAATACAGTTTTTTTAGAACCCCATGATTGACATTGAAGAAAATCCAAAACAGAGAAAGAGTATTTCCCAGAATCTATAACCAAATATGGTGTTCTTGTAAATACCCAACAAGTAATGTCAAACTAGCGAAGTCAATACTCTGTAAAAGTAGCAAAGTACCTTGCTTTATCTTCAGGTTTGATGGTGTTTAGATACCCTTGCCAGTTCGAAACGATTATAGTCTGGAAATGGAGAAGAAATCAGCCGAGAACGATACAAAGAAACAGAAATTGGATAAGAGTTACGGGAACGTACTTTGCATTTCTCCGCTAATGCAGAGAGATTCGCCTTGCTTCCTTTCATTGCGCTCTATGCTCACCAACTGTTCGACAAAATGCCTCTTTGATAACCAAAAATACTTTTTGGACGAAGGAAGAATGGAAGATAACGGTTTCTTAAAACAGCTCTATGGGCCCGTAAATACTTGTAAGAAACCAAGTTATGGCCCATATATTAGTTCCCTTAATTACATTATGTTCTACGTTTTCGTGTTATTTTAACCATGTTGACCACAGAAATAAAAATCCACGTGGTCATAATTTGTCCATTGAATGTTATTTCTCCGCGTAAGTGGATATTTTCATGTCGACTGGTTATAGTGTGCTTACTATGATTTGATTTTAATTAGCAGTACTTTAAATTATAATAATCACTATAATTTTTTAAATTTTAGTTATGTATTTTTAGGCTAATAATCACTAATTTGTACTTCTTAAGATATTATTTATTTAAGAAAAGATGCTTCAGGATGATTTTATAATTTGCTACCTTTTTTTTTTTTTTTAATTTGCTACCAAATCAAGAATCTCTATCGTCATGTCTTATATTTGGATTTTTCTGGTATTTTAATTGGAATTTTACTTTACATACATCATCACGCTTTTCTTCTCTCGTAAGTACGTTTGTACGTACTCGATCGTGAAAAATAAAATCAACTTTTTAAATTGGAAAAACATCAAATTGAGTATAAACACTACCTACTATACTTCACCAAATACTATTTAAAGTAAGCAACAAATATACACCATACACACCATAGTTACTAAATTGTAACGTCTACTAATTTGATATATGAGAGTTTTTTTATTTGCCATTCGGTATATCTACATCCATTAGTATATTTATAAATGTATATATTTTTTTCCAGATCGATCGAATAGACCTAACTAAGACGAACAAATTCGTAAAACGTAACATCACGATAACGATTTTAACCTGCAAATTTTATTGTTTCTATAAAACTCCAACTCTTTAATTACTTTCATCAAATTACGTGTTTTTATATACTCCTACATATAAAAATATTATTTTATAGATATTTTATGGTCGGTTTATATTTCGTTTGACTCTGTTTCCTTCTTCTTCCTTCCTTCGAGTCTCTCTTACCTATTTGATCTCTTCTTCTTCTTTATTCCTTTCTCTCACTCAGATTTTTTTTGTCAGTTTGTAGAATATTTTCATTATTTATTCAAATGATCGAGC